TACACTCAATAGGCAAACAAGTTTTATGCAAAAAGAGCAAAGAAAATAGCTTCTCTTAAGTGTTCTTTTAATAATATAGGGGATATTATTCTACTGGTATACACTGGGAAAAACTTCAAAATAATTCAGTTCAGAGAAACTTTCGTAGATGCACTCTGGAACGTCTAAGGCGCTAGAATGTTTCGTAGATACAACTCCAGAAGTTTCTGCTATATTTTAAACTTGCATGATCACTGCCCCATTGTTCTTTTTTCTTCTTCCACAGTCACTTTCACCAACCTAAAAACCCCTACATTATCAATATCACTTTCACTCTAAAAGTCCAAGTTTTTTGTGCAACAAATCAAAGGGAGAAAGAGAAGATAGAATTTCAAGTCAAGATTGCACTTTGCCCACTACATTGCTCACATGAATCATCAAAGTTTTGGAAAAAAGTAATGTTGCTTCCAGAGCTGTACCTCCGGAACATGTTGAAGATGAACACTTCCGTATAATAATATCTTAAAAGAATTAGTTCCTACAAACGATGTTTCTTCGAATGTTTAAGGGATTGTCGTAAATTCGATAGATGTCGGTGTTAACTTTAATAACAAGAAAGAGTTTGATGATCGTGAAAGCATGCTCACATAGATTCGTAGGACTGCAAATAGGCTTGGTTTTGGTGTGGTTATAGAAAGATCAGATAATGGTTTGGAAAGAAGAAACGTTTTTGTAACTTTGTCGTGCGAAAGAAGCGGGAAATATCATACTCCTCTACAGAAGTTTAAAAGAGACGACACCAGTAGTAGAAGATGTGAATGTCCTTTTAAGATTCGTGGTTACATGTTGAGTACTAAAAAGTGGAAATTTAGTGTTATTTGTGGTTTGCATAACCATGAATTGTGCTTAGAATTACAAGGTCCTCCTAGTGTATGTCGGCTCAAGTTGGAGAGAAGACGTGTATTAGTGACATGATCTTGAATCTTGTCCAACTGAAAAATATACTTGCCATATTGAAACGGAAGGAACCCGACAATATATCAAATATAAGGCAAGTGTATAACATTCGGAACTGCACCAACAAGGCGATTAGGGGAGATAGAAGTGAGATGCAACAACTGTTAAAATTGTTGGATGATAACAGTTATTGTCCCGGTACAAAACTTGCGACGATGGAGTTACGGTTCGAGATATTTTTTGGACTCATCCAGATTCGATAAAGTTGTTCAACACTTTCTCACCAGTACTCATTCTTGATTCTACCTACAAGACCAACAAGTATAGCCTTCCTTTATTTGAGATGGTAGGTGTTACGTTTACCGAGAAGACATATGTCATTGGTTTTGCTTTTCTGGAGTGTGAAAAAGAGGACAATTTTACATGGGCATTAAAGGTGTGTCGAGCACTTTTGAAGGACCAAGTTGAGATTTCTAAAGCGATTGTTACCGATCGCAATACTGCGTTGATGAACGTGGTTGCAAAAGTATTTCCTTCTTCTAATGCATTACTTTGTCGATATCACATAACAAAGAATGTGAGAAGTCGGGTTAAACCCATGGTGTGGGCAAAATAAGCAGAGTTCGAGGGTGGAAAATTGGTGAAGGCCAATGTGATTGTTGAAAAAATAATGGATGCATGGAATCATATACTAAATTCTTCCACACAAAAATTATATGTCGATTCCTTCATTCAATTCCGGAAAGTGTGTGAAAAGTATCCTGCTTTACTGAAACACGTTGAAAGCATCATTCTTGATCAGGTGAAGGAGAAAATAGTATGTGCATGGACTGATAACGCCTGACACCTTGGAAATATAACCACCAACAAAGTTGAGTCGGCCCATGCTAGTTTGAAAATTTAGTTGGATAATATTAAGGGAGATTTGTGTCGAAATTGAGACTTCGTATATCTTATGATTAAAAACCAACATAATGAGATACGAACAATATTTGGTTGGAGTATAACAGTATTGGAACATCGATTTAAAGACAATATTCTTTATTCTCAATTGATCGACAATATGTCTCGGCCGGGGTTGAACTATATTTTTCACGAGGCCAAACGAGCTGAAACTGTAGGTTCCGATAGCGCAAAATGTGGTTGCACTATTGTGAAAACCTATGGTCTTCCGTGTGCTTGTATTATTGCTACAAAGTTGAAACTAAGTGAGCCAATAAGAATGGACAAAGTTTGTCCTCGTTGGAAAAGACTTAGTTTTGATGACGATGGTTGCATGGAAGGAGGTAAGTCGAATATCTCTATTTTGACCGAATGGAAAGCGATACAAGAGAGAATCTCAAAGGCCGATGACAACATGAAAATCCATATCATAGAACAATTGAGGAAGATTGCCTATCCCGAAACAACCAACATGAAACTGCCTTATCAGCCGGTAAAGACAAAAGGTGCTCCGAAGAAAATGAAGACTACACTGAATGACAACTCGACTAAACGGTCACCTTATTATTGTGATCACGTTGACAAACTTTATCTCGACTCACCGACTCCTAAATCTCAAAATAGTGTCATGAAAGGAGTCCGCATAAGCAAACCGCCTCCGACCCCGATTCCATCAGAAATTCCATTCATCGACGAGATACCGATTTTTATGCACAAATACATCGACTGTATCGTCAATGTTGAAGGGGGTGGTAATTACGGTTACCGAGCCGTTTCGAATTTGCTTGGTAAAGAAGAGGATAATCATGCGTTTGTCTATCATAAACTAATCCAAGAGTTGAAGACGCATAAAGAATCGTACATGCGGTTGTATGGAAAGAATGAAAAATTCGATGCGATTTATGAATCTCTTATTCCTTACTTAAGTGGTCTGGCACTGGTATCGAAATGGATGACCTTCCGTGATATGGGTCATCTTAATGCATGTGCATATGATAGGGTGTGCATTGACTTGACGTGATACAGATTTTCGAAAACCTTTTTTCCACTCCGCACCGTACGACCTAAAAATCCAAATGATTGCATCATGTGTATTGGATGGCGTGCAAAATCAAGACATTTTGTGTAAGTTTACTTGAAACCGGGATGCCCCATACCACCTACATCATCGAAATGGACGACTCATTCAACTGCAAATGCCGAGACGTGGTCGGATCGTCTTATTGCATGTGCATATGATAGGGTGTGCATTGACTTGACGTGATACAGGTTTTCAAAAATATTTTTTCCACTCTGCACCGTACCACCTCAAAATTCAAATGATTGCATCACGTGTATTGGATGACTTACAAAATCAAGACATTTTGTACAAGTTTACTTGAAACCGGGATGCCCCATACCACCTACATCACCGAAATGGACGACTCATTCAACTATAAATGCTGAGACGTGGCCGGATCGTTTTGTTGAAAGAATGCATGAATTCGAAAGATTGAACAATATTGAAAAGGAATCGAATGCGGAAAAGTTCAAAGGGGTACCACTAATAGATTTATGCCTTATTTATGTACTTATGCCTTTTATTTCTCTATTATGATGTGTTTCTATATCGAGTTCTGGTTTTAAAATGTAGCAGGAAAAGTTCTGGATATGTATCTACAGAAGGTTCTTAATTTTATAGTTTCATGGAAAGTTCTAGGGATACACCTCTGAAACCAATAATTATGGGTTTGTTCCGTGGATATAGCTCCGGAAAAAAGATAAACAGAAAATGGTTAGTCCATATTCACCTATGTTTTCTATAAAATTGGGGTTTTAATTTGTTATCTTTCACACAAATACAAAAATGTCTCAATTGTTTGAAATCAAGCTTCGTTGGTATGCCATAAGTGTCTCCTTTTCCGACGGCAAAACACCCGGAAGGACGTTCAAGCTCATGGATCTCAGCCCCCTTGTCGATATCATAGACTAGATCCAATATCGCCTACCTTACAATGACAAACGAAAGCTTGTGAAGTTTGAGTATCGTTCACCTTCAGTTGACAACAAAGGGAACGTTGTTTACAACAAGTTTGAGCTCAAGAATCAAGAGGATATTAAGGCAATATGACAAACGTATTTTGATTTTGAAGAAAAAATTTCACTCGAGTTGGAGACGACAGTTCGAAGAACGATCGATGACATCTTAGAGATGTGAAGCGTCCACCGAACTATTGAAATGTAATATTTAAATTTCTGTCAAAATCATCAATATAACGCCAATTTTATTTTATAAATGTTGATTTTATTGTTGCAATGTTGATTTTTTTATTTTTTTGATTCTGGGTTTCTTCCATATATATATATATATATATATATATATATATATATATATATATATATATATATATATATATATATATATATATATATATATATATATATATATATATATATATATATATATATATATATATATATATATATATATATATATATATATATATATATATATATATATATATATATATATATATATATATATATATATATATATATATATATATCTCCCGAAATCAAAAGAACATTTTTGTCAGCATGATGACTAAAAAGCCCAAAAAGTGCCCTAAGAATTAAGAAATTCTCATGAATTAATTAACAAAAAAAGTGACAACGCAATAATTGAGTGGTGTAAAAGTGTGAATGAGTAAGCTTTACCTCCGAGTGCATTCATTATACTTACAAGCATAGTAAATAATATGCATTGTTGTTTTAAACATCTTAACAATATCATTTGTGACATGGTTAAAGAACATTATCATCAATTACTTATCATTGTGCTAACAAATATTGAAAACCAGATATGATGTAGAAAAACAAAGTATACAATATATTAAAGTTGACACTATTTACAAGTCCAATATGCCCCTACCCCCTAAACAAAAAAACAAAAGAAAACATAGAAAGAGAAATAAATATAATAAAAAAAATGAAAGCAACAAATCAAAACAAGGAAAATGGAAAATGAATCTTCAGCTACCATCATCTTACCAGTTATAATACATTCAACTTCTTCATCTATCTTTTATATATAAATCTAGCAAACTTTCACTTTAATACAATCAAACTAATTCATTGTCTGGTCAAAATATCATCTCCTGTAACATCAGAGAGAAAAATATATAAACATCTGACAAAAGCTCGGCATAGTAGTGTTCGTGCATGTGTCAACATCGTGTCAGTGTCACTGTCGATAATTCATATGTTAGCAAACATGATTGTATTGTATTTAATGAAAACAAAAGCCGACCTGGTCGCAATTAGGACAGGAGTCACTTCTTTCCATCCACTCAAGAATGCAAGATAGGTGAAAATGATGTTCACATTTTGTCAGATTTTTAGGATTCTCATCGTCATATTCTGCATTAAAAACGAAGAAGAAGAAAACTCAAATGATTGTCTTTCAACATACTAAGAAAGAAAATCAACTTTCAAATACACGAAAAACTGTACCTTCGAGACAAATTGGGCAGACATCCTCTTCTTCTGTCGCTGATACTTGTCTTCCATTTGATTTTGATAGTTCTTTCTTCTTTGGAGATAGAGGTGTAGGTTTGGTTTGAGCTTTACAATCTGATTCTTCAATATCATCATCGCGTGTAATAGAAGTTTCAAAACTACTCATACTAACGGTTTCTCTGCCAGACTCGGAATCTGTTGACGCGGAACCTCCGAAGACAATGTCATAAGGAAGAGGCACAGGAGGAGACCGGAACGTATCAGGTATGGCCGCTTCAAAGTTTAATCCAACCAGAAACCCAGCAGAGAGCGAAGCCGCGGTACCATCATTAGTGGTTGAAGATCCGCGCTCTTCAAAAGTTGGCGGACACTGAAACCGGAGTTTTTCAAGTTTCAAATCATAAGCAGATAACAAATTATAAATAAACAATTTAATTAAGTGCTCATAGGCTTATAGCATAAGCGCTTATCAAATAAGTGTTTATATGTGAGATTACTAACATAGTAATAAACTGGTGTTCCTTGCAAATGATGTTTTCTGGCCGAACAACAGCAACCACCCATTTTCCGCTAGCTCGTTTTTGTTACTTAATCGAAACTCTCATTGATACTTTCACTCCTTTTTCTCCAATCTGCTATCACAAGCCTGAAAATAACATTGATGATTAATTCACATTTTCACATAAGAAACAAACTTAAACATTTCACACCAAAAAAAAACCTCAATGACATTAAAGGAAACTTCAAAATATGCAACCAAATATAAAGTATACAATTAGAGGATAAAAGTTACATTCATTCCTTGGTAGATTAGGATTTGAGAAACTTGATTATTCACTGTTTTGAAGTTCATCTTGATTCAATTTGTTAACATGATTCTTATATCACTCATCCCTACAATGTTATTTGTCTTCAAAATCATTAATAAGCAAATTAACCACTATGAAGAATTCAATCTATGAAGAAGAATCGAAGGTGTGTCCTTCTGTCCATTATCCAACACATGTCAGTGTCTGACATCAGTATATTCAGTGCTCGGCGTGGTGTGTCACCGACACTCACACAGACACAATTTTTTTAGAGGTGTCGGTGCTACAGAACTAATCTATCGTCTCAAACTATTATTGGTGTCAACGTGTCACTACCGTGTCGGTGTTTCATATATTTCAATCAAGTTACCCTACAAAGAGAAGATAGCTTATAGACTATTATAGATTATAGCTGTTGCAATAGACACAAAATTCCTCAATCAGAAGTTACAGTTTTCATATCCATTAACATCCCAGTTACAGATTACTAAAATTAGCACATCAATTTCAACAAAAAATGAAACTTTACAAACAGAAACCAATCCCCAAAACCAACAACACCAAAACAATCAAACAACAAGAGCCACCCTAAGTCACCACTACAAGACAAAACAAAACAGAGGAAACATCTTGACCAAAAACACCCCAACAACCAAAAGCAATAACCCTGTTGAGAAAACAAGAATTGAGTGAGGAAGTTAAAACCAACACAATCAAATTCAGAGCACAAAACCCTAATCTGCAAAGCCCAAAAGGGTGGTAAAAAAACATAAGTTGGTAAACAGTTACAATTCATGAAAACTGATAAAGCTAGGAGTAGCAAAAACCAAAAACGGAGAAAAAAAAAAACTTACCTTTACAGAAGCAATAGAAGAGATGGAAGAGAAAGGTGGGAAATTGTTGGTTTGTTGTGGAATTTGGTTGCTTGAAGGTGGCTATGGTTATGGCTATGACTTTCTATCTTTCTTTCTTTATATCAAATATATAATAATACAAATATAAATATATAATAATACAAATATAAATATATAATATTTAATGTAAATTTTTCATTCATCACTTTTTTTAGTTCAATTAACCCACTAAAACATTAAAATTCTACATATTAATTAGTGTTAAAATAATATTTATTTTGAATAAAGATAAATAAACAAATAAATAATACTCTCAATTTCAAGATTCCGTTTAAGATTTTTGAACACAAATTTAAAAATGTAATAATATTGTCATACAATATTAAATTTTTATTAAATTAGTAACTTTATAAATGTATTTTATAAATGTATTGAAATAGTGTAGATATTTATAATTAAACGAGTTAAAAAAATAACAATTATTTTTACACTAAAAAATGAGAATGACATTTATTTTAACAAATTTTATTTATTAAAACGATAGTCATTTTAAAACGGGTGAAATATATAATATATCAATAAAAAAGTGTCAAGATCAAAGAAAATTAGATCAGATGATAATTCAGAGAGCCATTGAGTTTAATTTCTCATTTCCATAAAAAAAGATATTTTCTATTAATAAATACATAAATAAAAAGAAATTAATTGATATATATTAACCGTACACAAATTTTGCAATCACAACTATTTATAAGTGATGCACTTTTCGTTTAAAAATAACTGACGTTTTGATAAATAAATTTTATTTTAAAATAAGAATTTTTCAATATAGTAATGATTACTATTTTTTTAATTGTATTATTTAATTATTACGTTATATATTATTTTTAATATTTTAATAAGGTTAATTTTGTAAAAATGCAATATCTTACAATAATATTATTACATTCTTTAATATATGCGTAAAAATTTTAAACGACAATCATTTTAAATAGAAAAGAATATTTGCAATTAAATAAAAATTAAACACAAATAACTTATTCACATTGTGAAAAAATTATCTTAGTACATATTAATTAAGTTTAAATAAAAAATTTATTATTTTGTTTTTAGATATGATAAATAAATATATATTTTATATATTAATTTTGTTAGATTGATAATGTTTATCATATTAATTTCATTTATTTAATATTAAGTAGGTGTTGAGTTATACTTGTACAAGTTGATAAGAATGCATTAATTTTCAATATAATGAGTCAATAATGTTTAAAAATGTTATGCTTCCTCATTGGAGGAGAATGTAGGGTTGTGTTATTATATTTATGTTTCTTTTGTCTTCTTCCTACGTGTATACATAAAAATAATAATAATGCATGAAAATGACATAGGTGGCTAGGGTTTTTTTTAAAACCAAATTATACTTTATAATTAACTTTAAAAAATAATAAGATTTGTTTAGACGTGTAGTGTAAAGCTTTTAGGAATTTGTGTGACTCATGTTCCAATTTTGTTCTCTATTACGTAACACTTTAATCCTATGGTTATGACTTTGATACCTCATGCTTTGTGAAAAATATTCTCTAATTAATATTAGGTTCTCCACTAAGTTGAATTTGGTAAACGTATATAATGGTGAATTATCTTCAAAAATGTGTCAGATACGTGTGGTATGTATATCAGTGTCGAACACGTGTCTGATACAATCGAATGGCGTGTCAGAGCGAAATTCAATTTTCAAATGTTCTAGTTTGTCCTTGGGTTTAGGGTTGCCGCCTGAAGAAAGAAGTGAATGTGTAATTGATGACATTAAAATAAATTGAAAGTCTTCTGTTTGAGAAAATAATAATTGATTTTTGATATGCATAATGAATTCAAAGAATTTCTGAGCTACTTGTTGAATTTTGTTAAGGTGCATTACAAAAAATGCCAAAAAGGTAGGTATATACAACCTTGTCGCCACAATTTAAATAAACCAAATAGGACAAAATTGTTAGAAAGATGACACACGTACAAACATCTTATACACACACAAATATTATAAGCTCCACCAAAAAATAATTAAAATAAGTTACAAATAGTGTGAGAACAGAAAACTAAACAAACTTTTCAAAATATTCTAAAATGGAATAAAACCAAAATTGGTAGGAGACATTAACCATTAACACAGTAACATCACTCTCACTAAGTAGACTTTATTTTAATGTTTTTTTCATGTCAACCTTATAATTTATGTAATGCAAACTCCTTCATTGTTTATGATAAATTATTGAGAAACTAGAGAAAATAGATGAGATCCATTAATCACAATATAGCTTAATCTTTATATGATATGATACATTTCAAAGGCAAGTCTTATTCTAAACTATAATTTACACAAGACCAAAATTACCCCTTTGAGGGTAAAATATTCTATAAAGAATGGCATAAACAAACCTTATGCTGAAAAGAATTTACAAGAGACTTGATCGCTTCACTCTTATTGGCCTCAGAATCGAATCCTCCGATAACTTCTTATCCAAGTAAGAAACCGTTATGTTTGGATTTCCACTGCGAATTTAGTATCCATTTTTGTGACACCATTGCATGAAGTCGACTTAAACACGAGAAATCTAAGAATCTAAAACGATTCATTTTCCCCCCATTTTTACACCATTCTATTTGATATATGTTATTCTATTTCTAACTGGCTCTTGGAAGTGAATCCCGGTGAGTGAGTTCATAGTTTCCATTTTCAGGTAGCTGAGTCTCACTGCCCACAATATTTGCTTTTGAACAAAGGAAGAAGAAAGAAGATGTGTATATTGAAATATGCCAAAAGCTGTAAAAAAACACATTTCAAAAGAAAGCGAGCATGAGACGCGGAAAAGGTATAAACTAAAAGAAGGGAAATGATAAATACCTATGCCAAAACCAGTAATTTTCGCTGGTTTCAAGTGTCCAGCTTACTATTGCCATTGAAAGTGCAGAAAAACCAGCTAACGCAAAAGGCCAATGGTACCGTCTTAGAAGTGTTCCAACAAGATTACATAGCCATCGCTTTATTACTCGCAAACTGCAGATAAAATTCATCACGAATAAGTTATAGTCGGTTTTGTTATATAGCAGCTATAACGCAGTGGAATTTAGACAAATCGCTATTGTTTCGCGATATGCTAAGTACAAAGTATTGTCAAATAATGGCTATAGTGGCGCTATAGCTACTATAGCATAGCAGAATTTGATTTAACCACTATAAAGCATAGTGCCATCGATCGCTATTATGTTGCATGTAAACCAAATATAATGTCGTACTTAAACAAACTTACCTGTGAGAGAAATCGAGTGAGAATCTAACTGAAAAGGAAAGGGACCGATACTTTGTTGACAATTCTATAACCCATCCGATAAGGAGACCAAGAGCACCAATCACTATCACAAGAACAACATTGGAAGACCTACATATTTCACAATCAAATATGAAAAGGATCAACAGGTATATGCGTGCGCGCGTGTGTGTGAATATTCAGTCTATTAGTTCATTTACCTGGTTGCGTTTGTTACAGCCATTAGAGCAGTGAGGATAGCAACAGCTGTGTGGATTGCTCTCTTCAATACTTCATCAATGGTAGCTAGATAAAGAAAAGTGCTAATCACGGCCATGAAAGAGAGCCAGAAGTCCATGAACTGTAAGACGTTATAGTTCAATGCACACCAAGCACCTACGTCACACGCATGATATAGTCCACTAGCAATTCCACTAGATGTAAACAAAACCCATTCTGCTAATGCCTGCATAATAAACGGTGTTATGAAATTTGTACGATCAAAGAAAGGTAAACTATGGATTGCATACAAAAGTTTATATAATGAGATAATAAGAGTTACCGAACAAGTAAAGAGAAAGAACCACCTTTTGCCGAAGGGCCCAATAGGCAGGAAGTATGGCCGCAGCATTTGATACAATGAGAAAAAACGATTGTCGTACATGTCCTGCATAAATTTTCAGTAACTCGTTTAGGGTCTAATGATGTAAACGCTTACAAGCACAAAGATTCTTACTTGACAAAAAAATTTAAGTTAAAAAAGAAATAAAGATAAAGAACAAAAAGACGAGTTTGTCTGATAAATAAGTTACACAACAAGAATAATAAAATCGATGCTTTATATAAGTAAATTTGAACACTACGAAGCAATAAAATCACTAACTTCATCAATCTCAAAAATGAACAAGCACCTTGATGTGATACAATTTCAATGCTACAGTCGATGCCTCCATGGTTTCGATCACAAGAGCAGAAGCTGAAGACAACAAACAAAGTAAACATTTTAAATGATGAATTCCATTACTCTCTTCAGTAAACATAACTTAATAGAAAATTTAGGAACGGGCAAAGGGTTTAAAATAAACCTGTATGATGTCAAGCCACTTGCATCAAAAGAAAATTTACAGTCCCCATGTGAGGAACAACGTTTCGGGCATCGTTCAAGCGAAAGAGACATGACAGTTGTCCCTTTAGAAGGACTGCGGCTGGTATTAAGATATCTAAGACCAAAACCCCAAGTTCCTTCTCTAGCATACATAATATAGAAATTGATCTTGTCATCACTCGAATCGTATAGCATGAAAAACATAGATGTGTCGCTTCTTATTGTCTCGTTAACATAGTAATAGTCCCGGCTAATAAGAGATGGTAGCCCACCAAATCTAACGTAAACTTCATAATTGATCTTCACGTCTGAGGATAACTGTACATGAATATTTCCTCCGGCCGCACCACGAGGAATGTCCAAAAGTAAATAAGTCCAAATGTTACCGGGGTCGTCGTTGTATGATGAGTTACTCAAAAGTGGTTCAAGAGGGAAATTGGCAGAAGTATAAGATGCTCCGGTACCGACCGGTAAATAATATGATTCAAAGGGAGTTGGACCTCTCCGTACAAATGTCTGCAGAAATCAATTAGTGTATTGTTAATAACTTATTCCAGCGTAAATAAATACCTTCTAGCATCAAGACGTTGCATGATTCTACCCTAGGATGTTCTTAAATGAACTTCATATCAAGAAATATTAATAGAGATGATTTTTGCATAACCAAACTTAGACATCTTTTCCAATAACTTTTTAAGTGGTTAACGCGATTCAAATAGGTGGTTAATTATGTTCAGTAAATGGTTAATGGATATACGAGTTTTGAAACTCATCAACCATCATCGTAACTTCATTAACCACGAACTTGGACATGGTTACCATTTGGCAGAAAATATCTTGCAAAGAATACTACCTGAAGCGTGTAGATATCCATTGTACAATTTGGACCAGCCTTCCCAAGCGGGCATTGAAGCACATGAGATTCCACTGAATAGCAAACCCCTACATTGCTATCCTGTATCTTTATAGGATTGATCGGTACGATAGTAATGTACCAACGACCGATTAATGGTGAATGAATAACCAGCGGCTCTTTACTTAAATCACTGGAGTAATCGTACGAAGCGACTGAAGGCATTGAACCATGGCGAACAAAACACATTAAACTAACATCATTCGCCGCACCAGATGTTTTGTTTGAAGGTGTGACATTGAATTTGACATCGCTGGCCATAATGGTAAACTCGTCTGCCACATTTACTATATCAAAGGAGAAGACGTTTGATACGCTTTCATCAGCACAAAACGTTTTCAAACTACTTTTGCAGGTCATCAAATTTTCCAACAATGGCTCGTTCACCGTTGTAGCCTTCAAAGAACTATTGACATTAGAAGTTGTGCATGAAAATGGATAAACGGGACTGTTACAGAAATCCCCCATCATCATTGAATTTGTGCATGCTTCCACAGTTATATTGGCAGCAAAGGAGTATGCTGGACCTCGGATAATCTTCAGAGGTGAAAATATTATTACTTTTTGGGTAATTTTCAGAGCTATTTTGGGTAAAAAAATTAATATTTGCATAATAAACCTTACCATCTTCGACTGTGTCCTTGTAGGTCCAATGCCATTGAAAAGACCAATGAACCAAACACCTGGAGATATCTGAACAGCAATTCATTACGGTTTCCATCTTAGAAACTACATAAGATTAAGAACAAAAGAAAAACCACTCGCAACTAACCATTCCCCAAGCAACATATATGCTAATTATATAAAACCGATCATGTGGCCTAACATCTCAAGCTTTTCGGACGGTTTCTCCTTGACATATCACATACCGGAGCCCCTATGACAATTGTTTTTTAGCATTGCCCCTATGACCAGTGGTTTGGAGTTAATCTTTATGTGTGTCTCCAATCCATTCTTCATAACTAAAGTTGAACTTCAGCACAAGGCAAAGTGGACCTTTATTTTGCTTATGTTTCAAGTCTAATAGGTTTAAAGATATTAAAGTTATCTTGCATCTTAACCAGTGTAGTCAATGGCAGCCAATAGCGTCGTTATCCAGCTATAGCGGAGCAGAGGCCGGTCGCTATGGGAAAAGCCTTAGGGGTGCAGAACACTATAGCGGACATTATAGGGTAAATAGTGAACATCCCGCAATATGCTATCCCACTATCTCATTTTTGGGGTCGGACCCTATCCGGGGTTAAATACTCTGATCATAACCTAATAACTTAACTTTAAATAGAACCGACCCTCGACTATAGGAACGTTAATCTAAGCAAGTGTTTCTATGTTATTACAAGCATAAGGAGACATTGAGCTAGACGAAGCAATACATTAAACATGAATATTATACTAGTAATAAAAAAAATATATAATGCTTCAAGTAAAATAAAGCCTAAAACAATACCTGATTGTTTGTCAGTTTCATAGTGATATTTTTCTGCATAGGAAAGCACTGTTCCACATCTAAACCATTTATCCCTGAATAAAATGGAGAACAAAAAGTAATCATAATAGGAAACAGAAAATAAAAGATGAAAAAAGAAATATCTTAGACAGTTAACAACAACATGGCAACTGTTTCATAGCATCCGTGCTTCCTCGGTCTCCTACCTGATATGGCTGAATCTTTCAAAGTTAAGTTTAGAGAATCTGGCAGTGGAGGACCTCCGTCTCTAAAGCATATTATTGGCAGTGTGCTCATTGGAACACTTTCAATTCTAGAGACATCCTGAAAACAGAAGAGTCAATTCAACAGAAAGATAATATCATGACGAGCACATCGTGGACTTTTAATAAACGAAGAGAAATGAAATATTTAATCCAAGGCAACAGGCAACACCATATGGCATATCCGCAAAGAAGACTGGATGTACTTACAAGGTCTACATCTGAGTTCATTGCTATATACATCGCGGAAAACCATGACGGCAAGTCAACTGAAGCAATAGAAAACATTAAGAGACAAGTATGATCATTCACAACTCCAAAAATTCAAATATATCTGAAAATGAGGTTTTTCGAGAAAACATATCTCTAATGACAGTTTCAAAATAACAGAACTCATAATCGCAATCGAATTAGTTAAATCTAACAAACCAACACATCACAAAATAGATAACAAATAACGAACAGCAATTGTTTCGACCTCAAATCCACTGTACCGTTTTTCCGAGGTACGTTTGAGATCCACCTCAGACCATTCGGGGTGTTTGTGAGAATCAAGGGTTTAACTTTAAGCCATGCACAACGGCTGACAAACTCTTTCACCCGTTAGCCTCGACTAGAGGACTATTGTTCCGGTACAGTAAAGTCTCACATTACTAGGAATTGAGACCAAAAGTGCCATATAAACACTCACATCCACAATCCCCGAGTCGCCTTTTAACTAAGCACAAAATTCCCAAAGCGGACAATACCTAAGAAAAGTTGTGTTCCCTATGCTTCAAGTCCATAATACTTGCAGAGTTATTATTACAAGGCTACTGTGATAAACTAGAGCAACATAACCTAGAAACACAGGACTCATTTCACATGATCAAGTCCATCATAGCAGAATAATAATCACAAACACAATAACAAAATTATACTGTAATCAGTCTCTTAGATTTCCCCTAACACATAAAAACGAACTAATTGTGTAATCCTCATAGACTCAACTCAAGATGAAATTCAATTCCAACACTAAGATAATGCTTCATCACAACAACAAGAGAAAAAATCAAGCAAATAGCAATGATTAAAAAGAAAAGGGTCGCTGTGAATTGGGTGACAAACCTCTGATATAGCGCAAATCAAAGGGTCTGAGCCTAGTACGAGGGTAGCTGAAGCTTGAAACAATAAAGGTTTCACCTTTATTGCTGGGTTCACCATTTGCAGAGAGTAGAACAAAGGAACAAGAAAAGAGAAGAACAAAATTGAAAAAACTCATCTTTTTTACTCAAATTGTTATTCTACCAATTTTAAGAGAGTTCTTCTGAGATCGTAGCGATGAATTGGTAGAAAGTGAGTGAGTGACGCAAATGGATTAATTAATTAAATAATAAGAGGAAAAAAAACATTTGTCAGTGAGAATGTGGGAAACACATGTATAAGTCGAAATTTACCAATCAGTCATTAGTTAAATATTTTTAAAAAAAAACACGAAATCTATGTGAGATACGATGATGATGGTCTATGTTAAGTACCATGTTGACTCATTTTGGGTTGACTTTAGTCTAATGTGGTAAACTCCTGGAAGACTATTTTATTTTATATTAATCAATATTAATTAAAGTGTAATATTTTATGATTTAGTTTTAAAAATGGTTTGTTTTTTCAATTTGATATATGTTCTAAAAGTAATATAAACTTTATTTTGATCAAATCAAGAAAGTTATAATCACCTTTATTAAAATCAAATAGGGAGCATTCAAACATGGAATCATGCCAACCTTATGTATTTTAAAGTACTATGAATAAAGGCAACACATATATTTATTTATTTATAATGTTGTAGTCTCTTTACATAACATTGTAAATCTCACATTTATTTAGCATAGTAATTGCTTTACATCAATTGTCAATTTTAAGGATTTACTGTGTCTATAGTTATTGTTAATCGAAGGCGATAATTTATTGATAGCATTCTTATAAAAATTCAGATAAACAAATGTGAGATTTACAATGTTATGGTAATATATTATAATAGAATTAAAGTAAGAATAATGTTGCATACTTATTGTACGTCACACTAATTTAGAGTCTGTGTTTTATTTTATTTATTTATTAAAACAAGTTATTTTGATGAATAAATAAATCAATTTTGTTAAATTTGTTTTTATTATCATTATTGATATATGATATATTATTATTATTTTGTTGTGTTTCCGTAACAAATTGAATAAACTTTGGTTCAATTTTATTTAAATTTGGCTACGAAATGTATTTTCATACAGTAATTTAACATTTTTAGGTAAATAATTAATATGAAAAAGTTGTTAAAATGACCTCTTTTATAACAATTGCTTATGAAAAATATTAAATATTTTTGTGGTATGTATGTATGTTTGTCAATTCGAGTATCAATTTACTCAAAGAATAATTGGTGGTTGACCAGTTTTCATACGCGCCTACGATGGTCCTACATGTGAATAATAAACCAATTCAAATAGGGATTTATTATTCGAGATGTTTTTATTATCAATGTTTGACCGTTACGACAAGAGTACCACTAATAGTCGATATTACTGTCCAAAGACTTGATAATGGTGGTGCAATGCGTATCTTGAGATGGATTATGCCTTTATTTGAAGAACATTGATGATTCGGTTTTTAATTTATGTGAGCATATTTAAAATGTTTAATTTTTATTCTTTTTCAGCTACAATTGTTTCAATATCTGCTAATATGAATAAGGTTCAGCTCCTTAATGGGATAGATTTTAAGGATTAGAATGAGAACATGGAAATTGTTCTTGGCTACATAAATCTTAACCTTGCATTAAGGATGGAGCAACCACATTCTCCTACGGAATCTAATACCTATAAACAGAGGAAAAATTATGAGAAGTGAGATCGCTCCAATTGCATGAGTCATGGTTTGGTCTGTTCTGAGGTCAATTTAGCTTTAGTGTCTGGAAACACTTGGTGGTTAGACTCTGGTGCAACTACTAACATCAGTGTTTCAGTGAAGGGTTGCCTGAACTACCGAAAGCCAAATGATGTTGAAAGATACATCTATGTTGGAGATGGCAAGTCGATGGAGGTGGAAGTTATAGGGCATTTTAGATTATTAATGAATACCGAATTTTATTTGGATTTGAAAAACACTTTTATGGTTCCGTCATTTATACGAAATTTTATTTGAGTTTCTTATTTGGACATATCAGGTTATTTTTGTTCATTTGAAAACAATATGTTCAAATTGTCTTTCAATTCAAATATTGTCGGGACTGGTTCACTTATGGGTCATGATAATCTATACTTGCTTGACACAATAGCTACCTATGGCGAATCTTTGAATGTGGAATCATGTAACACCCTTCTAATCCCCACGGAAAAATATATAATTAAACAGAGTAAATTAACATGCTTTCACAAAGGGCGTCACACATAATTACAAAATCTCAACATCCACCTGTCATACTCATGTAACATTGAAATGAATAGTCATTCTATTAAATTTTCATCTTGCATGTAGCAGTGGATTCAATTTATTTATATAAATCCATTCACAGAATATTCATGTTCGTCACATAATCATAACACTTGGGCACAGAGGCCATTATCATAATATTTCAAATATATTAAAAACACAGCTTAGGATACATAATATATCTCTAAGGCATAAACCCAACGATCCCAGTGTTACATAACCAGAGCATGACCTGACCCAACATAATTAAATACTAGACAGTTGCACCAACAGCGAACTCGCAACTACTAGCAGTACTACACCAAGATACCTGCACGATGTCATATAGGACATCATTCCAGCAGAAGGATGAGAAATATTATCATAATAATCAATGCATACAATTATATATATATATATACACAAGTATAGAATACATATAACCCACATTTCTCACCACAATTCATTTCCATTACCAGATGCATCACAACGTGCATATTAACAAACATAGACATTCATCAAGCATTGTCATCATGCATACATCCATAAATCTCAACATACCACATAAACATACACATGTTATGTTTTATCCACCAATTCACTATTACACATTCACATTTCTCAATTACACAAGTAATGCACATACGCATATTCCACAATTCTCACCATACTTCATCATAATTCATCATGTACTTTACAAAGCATACTTATATAAACAAATATGGACAATCATCAAGCATATTCATCATGCACATATCCATAGTCCTCATCAATCCACATAACATACACATAAGCATTTTTTGCATACAACAATCTTATATTCACACTCTCAAATCAACAAGTCACGCACACACGCATGCTTCATACAACAATCACAAATATGCCATGTGACTCAATGCAACTCATGTCATGTGGTACCAACACTTGTTATCATTTTTCGGTTTTTACATTTAAACCGGGTCCACCCTTCTACACCGATAACAACAAAGCCCGTCCCATATGCTTTCAAACCCACCCTTCTAGGTTTGGGACAAGCCACTAGTCTCCACGAAACTAGCAAACATTGCCTCTTGACTAAATAATGCATATGCAATCAACCAACAAAATGCACTTAAGACCGTTCCCGCATCTTAATCCCATGCATTTCAAATAATTCATCACATACGAATTATAGCATGATTGCACACACAACATATCACAACAATCATCAATGTATTCATTTATCAATACCATTATCACATCATCAAACAATGCACACATATCCAAGATATGTTCCCATGCATTTCTCACAATTATTAAACAATGCACACATATCCACGATATGTTCCCATGCATTCTTCACATTTAATCACATGCACACAATATGCATTTATAACATCTATCAAGCAATGCACACATATTCACAATATGTTCTCATGCATTCTCAAGTAATTCATCATATAAGAATTACATCATGCTTACACGCATAACACATTTACCATGCAATGCACATATATTCACAATATATTCTCATGCATTGTTCACATATAATCGCATCCAATCAATATACATTCACAATATCGTGCCAAACGGCGACAAATTCATCACAATAATCATGCATTTTAAACATGTTAAAATAATGCATTCAAATATTTGTCAAAATAATGCAATTCATATTCGATCCTATCATCTAAGATTCACGCCCAAAGGCTACCCACAGTACAACATATCATAACATAAAACATGCCACTCAACTAAGGATTAAACACCATCATGCTAAGCAAAACAACGCGGATTGGAATCACAGAGAAAAGAAAACTCGGTCACGTTCGCTACCATTCGCTTGACGAGGCCATTGGCGAATGCTCGCTGCCAGTTCGCCTGGCGAACAAGCTGGCGAAGACCACTGGAAGTTTACTGGAATTATTCGCCACTACACTCGCTGGGATTCGCCTGGCGAACCCACTCGCTGCTTCCTTCGCCTGGGAACAAGCCAGCGAAGTCCATTGAGAGCTACTGGAATTGCTCGCCAGCCACTCGCTGGGCTTCGCCTGGCGTAACTTCGCCCTCACTCGCTTGGCGAGAGCCAGCGAACCTGCGAAACCAGAACTTCCCAATCTTCCCGAAACCCTCCAAACCACCGAAATCACCCGATTCTTATCAAACCAGACCCAATAACCTTAGTTAAACCACACCCGACTAGTCTACGCTAACCATTTCAGTTTCTAACCGATTAAACTCTGATTCTACCGATTAAATCTCCTTTGCCCTAAATGGAAAAATGGTGGAAATTCACAACAAACCAAACCCACACATATATAATCATACACATGGATTAAATAACAATGTTTCTCACCCTTACCTTGGCTTAATCGAAGCTTGAAGCGGATCCTTGAGTTTTTCAAGCTTTTCCCTCTTCTCTTCTCTTTTCTCCTCTTTCTTTCTTTCTCTTCTCTTTCTCTTTCTTTCCTTTATGTTTTCTTTTCCATCTATTTTCCTTTATATACTTTCCATTTGATTTTTCTTTCTATTATATTTCTTTTCTCATAATATCTACCAAATCCTTTCTCACAAAATATCTCATCTTGACATTAATTAGAAAATATCTGGTAAATCCACATTATTCTACCAAATATAATAAATCAGTTAAATCCATTAACTCATATAATTTAAATAAATCCAATGATTCCTTTAAATCAAATAAACCACTTAAACCAATTAATTAGTACCAATAATTAATTATTGAAAATTGCGTTGTTACAACCCTCTCCCACTTTAGGAATTTTCGTCCTCAAAAATGTTACCTGATTCAAATAACTCTGGATACGATCCTCGCAT